TTGTTCTTACTCTTTGTACTCTTAAATTCCACTTCCCTCTAAAATTATACCTCCCTTCTCTTTCTAAGAACCATTTACTTATTTCAATTGGGAGCATCCCTTTCCTTACCTTATATATTATTTGCACTGTTTTAAACTTGACCAGGTCCTGAAATTTTAAAGCTTGTGTCTTAATAAAGAGTGCGTTTGTATGAGCCCTATACCCCTCCTGATTTATTAGTCTAATAGCCCTTTTCTGCATTATGATTATAGGCTGAATATTACTTTTATATGTGTTTCCCCAAACTTCTACACAATAACTCATGTATGGTAATATGAAAGCACAATATAACATATATAATGTTTTCCTATCCAGAAAATGTTTTACTTTCCCCAAGACAGCAATGCCCCGTGCTAACTTTCCCCTCACATAAGTGATGTGTGATTTCCAACAGGCCTTATGATCAATGATCACACCAAGAAATTTTATGGTATTAACCCTTTCTAAATATACATTATCAACACAAATTTCAATGTTAATATCTTTCTTATGGTTTCTGAATAGCATACATTTTGTTTTATTTAAATTTAAGGACAATTTGTTTCTATCAAACCACGTCTTTAATATCTTTAACTCCTGTGTGATCACCTCCACAACCTGTTGAAATTCCCCACTTGAACAAAGTATATTGGTATCATCTGCAAAAATTACAAACTTTAGGATCTTCGATACTTTACAAATATCATTTATATACATTATAAACAATTTTGGTCCCAATACTGATCCTTGAGGTACTCCACATTCAATATCCATCAATTTAGATTTAAACTCATTTATTTGTACATATTGCTGTCGATTCATCACATAGCTTTTTATCCAATCCAATACCACACCCCTAAACCCATATTTCTCCAGTTTGATCATTAAAATTTTGTGGTCAACAGTATCAAATGCTTTTTTTAGATCTAGAAAAACTCCAAGTGCATACTTCTTGTTATCCATACATTCAGTTATTTCTTCCATTAAATCCATCAATGCCAAAACTGTTGATCTGTTATTTCTAAACCCATACTGGCAATTTGCCAACAGATCGTGTTTTTCCACAAAGTTATCAAGTCTTTTTAGAAATAGTTTTTCCAGTATCTTAGAAAACTGGCAGAGTACCGACACTGGTCTATAATTTGTAAAACAATGCTTTTCACCTGATTTATAAATGGGAATAATTTTTGCTACTTTCATTTTTTGTGGAAAAACCCCTTCCTGGAAAGACAAATTAAAAATATATTGTAGCGGTTTTACAATACCATCAATTACTCTCTTTACTGTTAACATATCAATATCATGGGAGTCAGTACTTGTTTTGTTCTTAAGTCCACTGACAATATCATATATCTCCTTCTCTTCCACTGCTCTTAAAAAAAAAGTTTACTGTGCGTAAGAAACATCTTCTGAATTTTATTTTCAAGCCCACTATATAAGAAATCTTTCTTCTCGTTAAACACAACAGTAAAGAGATTGGAATTAAAACTCAAAATGGAAATGTTTGTTTCTGACATAAAAATGCACACACACACACACACACACGCACGCACGCGCATGCACGCACGCACGCACACACACACACACACACACACACACACATACACACACACACACACACACACACACACACACACCAATAAGTGGTTAATAACGAATTCTCATTTCCTTAATAGACATAACTTGATGTAATTATGTTCCTGTAATGTTTGGTGATCTAAATCTTCCCATTTTAAGTTTTCTAATTAAAATCAGTCCAATTAAATTACTTCACTTGGTTGGAACAGAATCTGAGATCAAATTTATCTTAAAATAATTCCTTGTGATTCTAAAGCTCCTTCCACCTCACTGCTAACTGCTAATAACTCAACATCTCAGTGCATATACGCCAAGTGTAGTGCACGTGTTAAAATAAAGAAAATGCATCTTTGAATGAAAATATGATGAAGTAGCTAAGTAGCTGCAGCAGTCTGTGATATCAATGTGAAAATGATCTGCCATTTGATTAGCTGGAGGTGATTGTCACATCCATTTGTGATTGGCACAGATCTGGTGACTTTCGCTCCTCTCATTTTTGGCCAGGTGTGATTAAGCAGAGCCTAGAGACAAGCAGCAAGACTGACCCCCTGGAGAGTTTGCAAATTAAAGTTATGACACCTGAGGAAGGGCAGCAGGAACAGGGGACAATGAGGGGAAATGGGACGGAGGGAGAGTCAGAAGGTAGAGATGGAGATAGGACGTGACAGCGAAAAGGATCACTCTGGTCCAGTTCTCCAATCCTCCTTGTAACTTGGCCCAGAGTAGAAAGACTTGCGGCTCAGCAGGTGGAATAAAGAGTCTCGTAGTGGTTCTGACTCCTGCTCGGAGGCACATTTAAAAAGACTATACGGCTGCATCGGATCCTGAAGAGCTTTGGTTTTTGGAAAGAGGCTCCCAAAGAGGTAAGATCCGTGATTTGGTACTAATCTCTCAGCCCCCCCCCCCAACGACCACCTCTAGAGAGACTTTGATGCCTCTATACAGTAAACGCTACTGGCATGAATCAAATTCAATTAAATGATTTTCAATAAGAAAGGCTGCCTGTTATCAACAGTGCTCATTTGCACACTGTGACCTTGGCGGTGTGTGTGCAGTATTAGCATTCGCACAGCTGCAGGGTAGGAAGGGAGGATGAAGAGCAGCGCGGTGGGTGTTACGCTTTTAGATGAAAGGGAGGAAGGGCCCGGATGCGTGACACAGAGGGAAGGTCTGAGGAACACTAAATAAATAGATAAACTAAAAAACCACAAGCTTACTTATGCTTGATGCACAATTACAAAAATTCAGCAGGCGGACAAAAACTCAGGAGGAGGCTGGCGCAGGAATCCAGGAACAACAGAAAGATTGAAAAACCAAATGAGCCACAGACTGTGAAAGCTGAAAGGCACAGCATAAGGAGCACAGGCGGGGAAGACAGACAAAACGACAGCTGAAAGGCAAAGAGCCTGGACTGCAGACAGCATACATGGGGGACTAATTGGTAATTGAAACCCAAGTGAGCACAAAAATCATCGAAAACATACAAAATAAATCCAACCAAGAAAAAGAGAGAGGAGATTTCAAAATAAAACATATAAGCTCATTTAAAACTTTGAGCAGAGAAAGATGTGAAATATATGCCTTCTCTGGGTCAGGGATGAGGTGTGTAGGAGTTTAAGTATCTCGGGGTCTTGTTCATGAGAGAGGGAGTGATGGAACGCAAGATCGACTGGCAGACTGGTGTTACAGTGATGCGGGCTTTGTACCGACCCTTTGTGGTGAAGAGAGAGTTGAGCCGGAAGATTTACCGGTCAGTCTTCGTTCCAACCCTCACCTATGGTCACGAGCTTTGGGCAGTGACTGAAAGAATGGGATGGCGCGCGGATACAAGCGACTGAAATGAGTTTTCTCCACAGGGTGTCAGGGCTCTCCCTTAGAGATGGGGTGAGAAGCTCGGTTATCCGGAAGGGGCTCAGAGTAGATCTGCCGCTCCTCCACATCGAGAGGAGCCAGTTGAGGTGGATCGGGTATCTAGATGGGATGCCTCCTGGATGCCTCTCTGGTGAGGTTTTCTGGGCACGTCCAACCAGGAGGAGACCTAAAAGAAGACCCAGGACATGCTGGCCAAGGAACGCCTTGGGATTCCTCCGGAGAAGCTGGCCCAAGTAGCTGGGGAGAGGGAAGTCTGGGGCTCCCTACTAGGCTACTGCCCCCGCGACCTAACCCCGGATAAGCAGCCGAAAACAGATGGATGGAAGTAGAATTTAGCTGATGATCCTGTTCTCTCCAACCTGTAACATTTATGTTTAACAGCCTACAGACTCAAATAAACAAAACTGGAGCAAGTGCTAAATCCGAGTTTGCTAAACAGAAAAAGTGAAAACGCAAACCAAGCAGAACTGAAAAGTCCATCATGCCATGTGGTTCAATCTGAATATTAATTCTAGTGTTTGATGTTTTTAATAGAATTTTACAATCCCAAGTCACCATAAAAATGTCCAAATTTTCTTCAAAACAAGCAAAATAAACTTGTTTCATTCCATTTTAAAATGTGACACATCTGCAGGACGCCGTGTGGTCAGTTCTGTCCTGATTCTGTTTCCTATGGATTTATAAAACAAACCAGAAAAGTGACATAAAATAAACCAGAAAACTAAACCTGAAAAAGCCCAGCAAGGTGAAAACACACAAGTCCAACACTGCAACATGGATAGAAAGTAAAACATGTATGTATGCAAGAGGCTTATAATATTATTAAGAGATATGAACGTGAGCCCACGCTCATGACTCATGTAAATACATTTCACACTGAGCTATCGTGTTTGGTCTTCAGGAGCAGACGATCTGAAGTGACTCGTCTGCCCACAGCCTCTCTCTTCAGAGTGTCTGGGCTCTTGTCTCACAGTGGTTCTAGGTCGGAGTGTGATTACTGATGAAGAGGAGCTGATAAGAAAGATTCACTCTCACTTAGGGCAAGGTCACCTCCCACTGCAGACATATGTAGATGTGATGAGAGCGGGATTAGTGATTGGTTAATGCACAACCACGCAGGTGTAACATCCATCCATCCCTATGTGTGTGTGTGTGTGTGTGTGTGTGTGTGTGTTTGTGTGTGCGTGTGTGTGTGTGTGTGTGTGTGATCTTTCCAAAAGTGCAACATAAGAGGTTATATAAAGATTACATAAATCTATAAGAAAGGTTTTGTGCAATAAACCTACTAATAATTTGTCTAGCTGCTCCAGATCTTCAGTTTGTTTAAAAAAAGCTATTAATAATATAATTTATTTTTGTTTCTTTTGAATAGTTTTATTTTCACAAATTAAGAAAAGAAAAGTCTAACTTCCTAAGTTTTATTTGATAGATGTAATTTGCCTTTTGTCACCAAGCTGTGGCCATGGGAAGCAGAGGCCAAGACGAGCAATGCCCAATGTCTGTAAATCAAATATTAATACAAAAGCCTTACATTCGACTGCTGGGTGGAATCTTGCGTCCGTCTCTGAACCAGGTGACTTGCGGTTGAGGGAAGCTGCGGATGCGTGGTGCTGGAACAACGGCACCCTCTCCCTGAGAGACTGACTGAGTGTGTTCACCCTCTTCAAAACTGCCCATAACTAGAGAAAAAACAAACACATTTCATAAAAAACAAGGAAATGCAGTCAGGAGGTCAGGCAGGAGTGCTGTTAAGCCACACATACAAGTCAGAAACACAAATTTTCATCTCTTTCTTTGGCTTTTGTTGACCTGAAAGCAGCTGCCATCTACTTTGTGCTTTGGAAACGTTGCATTGAGCTGCATTGATGGACGGAGCAGTGCTGTTGCTATGGTTTCTCCTGCAGATCAAGAAAGGCTTGGAGGAAGCAAGAAGTAATGAGTCACAAATGGACATTAACAGGATGCTAAATTGAGTAAAAGTCATTTTTTAAATGTTTCTTTCTTTCCTCCTGGTTTAATTTCTCTGTTAGTTTAATATCGTAATGTCTGACAAACACACACGCTCCTTTCCTGACTATTTGTAAATTAGATCAACGGGCAAAGGACTTGAAATGTTTGTTTTTCTCTGCCTCAAATTCTGATGTAGTTTTAGTTTTACTATCATCTCACCCAGATTGTAAACCTTTTGAATCAGTTTCACAGCAGAGAGATAAAAAATTTTGCTTTCTAAATCACGAAGAGCAACGCTGACATTAAATTAGTTAATTAAGCTCCGGCACAGTTTAGAAACAATATTCTTGAAGTTTCCACACCCCAAGGTGTAGGACTTTGAACATGTTGGAGTGTCTGTGCATCAACAGCAATCTTATGTCTTCTGTCTCTCTCTCCCTTTCTTAGAGAATAAAACAGGTAATCTGGATTAGTGGCGCCACTGTGGTGCTTAGCTTAAATGAAAATCTGGAAAGTCTACAAATCCTCCGACTTTGATCTGCAGTTTCTTTTTTGTGATATGATGTCCTCCTCCCTCTTCTCCCCCAATCTCTAATGCTCTCCCATGTTTCCCCTCTTTCAGAGGTGTATCTCTGCAATCCCAATTGTGTTTCCTCCACGAAACTGCTTCCAAAAACAGCTCACCATCTTTCCTCGTCTCTCTAAACACTCCCTCCCTTCTTTCTATCCCAACTATTTCTTCTGCAGGTGTCCTAAATTTTCCATTTTACCCCGCTTCTCCACTGAAACCCTTTGGAGGATGAGCAACTGATATGAGGCAAGAGGGGAATTATGGAAATGGGAAGAAGTAGGAATACAGAGCAGCTGAATGACAGTGGGGTGCATGCCAAGAAATAAATAGAAAGCAGTGGTGGCCAGCAAACAGAGAGAGTCAACATCGGAGAAGCAACAAAAAGAGCCAGTGATGGGAGGCTCAAACTGCTGCTAGAGAAATGAGATGCATGAGGACAGAGTTGACTATCTTATGTTTGTGGAATACAAAAGGAAGCAAGCCAGTGGGACTGTTCCTCCCTCCCACCACATTTGGTGTTGACTGAACTGAATAGTCAGCCACATCCCCTCAAATGTCGCTGAAACAAGGAGAAGCTAATGAAGCTGACTAGGGTAATGGGCGTAGCAGTTTTACGTATGAAGCTGTGGGTGGACACCGTGCCGTGGCTCGCGAGACTCATCCAACGTGCATCTCTAATAGATCGTTAACAACAGGAGGGAAGCTGAGCGGCCTGAAACCGGCGGGAAACATTTACAGAAATGTGTTGCATGGGAGCAGCACTTTTGCTAAGAAACAACAGATGTTGTTGACAAAAGAAGGGAATTTGAAATAAGCAGCGGTCATGCTGAAATGAAGCAGTTATAAAAGAACCATGGCAACAATATAAATCTAATGAGAGTGCTGAGTGGAACAGCTGTCTGGGTTGATAACACTCTGAATGAGATGCAGGTAGATCTTTCACCCTGCCAGCATCTGGTCCTCCCTATTCAGTCCTTCATACAAAAGCAGCCATAGAGAATGTGGGCATATTGCGCTCTCTGCATGCAATTAAGCACACATGCTCTCCGGATTTTCCATTTCCTATGTTTTTAGTGCATACTCACAGGCCACTTGCACTTCCGTTCTTCTCTGCAGAAGGGCTCCCACCCGATTCCTTACGATGCAGCGATAAAAGCCAGCATGGGAGCGATCCAATGAAGGGATTAGGTACCTTCCACACACAAAGAAAAACACAACAAAGAAACGATAATCAGAAAGTCTATACTTGCAATTTCCTAATTACAAATACAAAAGCAAAGGGTGGAAACAGAACTGGGTTGCAATTGGAAGCGTGAGCCGGATCAGAACTGACTGAGGAACATTAAACACACAAACTTAAGACAATCTAATAGAGGATCAAGGACACACAGGACACTGGAGCTTAGCTGTCGTTTATTTCAGTGATAATGGCGCTCAAGAGGCTAATGCAGCGATTATGGTGAAGCTCTCCCTTAAGACGCATGCACTTACACAGCACACATATAAAAAGGTGTTATAGGCAAACATCAAAGCCACAGAAACAAAGTCTCAAGCCTAATGCCACAGTTAGCTGTCCCGTTATTGGCTTTGCAGCCAAACTGCAGAAGTGGTATGTGGGGCAGCATAGGGTGTGTGTCAATGGGTGAACTGCTGGGGGTTTGGCAGTGACCCTTTATTACAGTTCCTCCTGACCCTAACAATACACACTCAGGTTCTTCCACATTCCTTGTTAGAGATATCAGAAGTGTTGGTAGTGTGAGATGTTGGTAATAGTACTACGAACACAAGACAACATGTTAAAGAACACACTATATTGACCATATTTATGTGATTGTTTGGCTCCAGGTCAATCAGACCAGTGTTTTTTTTGGCAGGCATCTCAGTCTTAGTCTCTATGATGAAAATGCAATTGAATCAGTCAGTTTTAGTCAAGAAAATTGTTTGTTTTTAGTTTTACAAAAACACTTAAAGTTTTAGTCTGTAATAAATCATTGTATATGTGAGACGTGTAATCTAAGCTACTGGATTGAGTTTCACACCAACATAATTTTTTTAGACCTAAGGGAAATTTGACACAAATTTAGCTGCTCCAGATTTTGTCCAGTTAAACAATAATCCCCAGACTAGTGTCATTTTTTTTACTTTATTGATACTCACTATAGTGTATATGATTTATTGATGCAGAGCTGTGCATCATTCAGTAGACTGTCTCAAAAGAAATGTATGATTTTCTTTTTAACACAATTGACTCTATACAGAGTATTCTATACAATATAAAAAATAACAGATGTGTTTGCTTAATTTATTTTTTGAGTTATCAGACCTCCAAATTAGTGTCTTTACATGTATAATTTGATAAAGCGCACCTCCTTAAATGCAATAATGTTTTTCCATGGAGCTGCAGTGTTGTGAGTTTTCACAAGCCTACATAATTAATATAAATAACCCAGTTCTGCTCTTGAGTATCAACAGTGATACTCATGAATGCATAAAGGTGCAGGAAGGTGACCCGTTATTAGTAACCAGGGAGAAGATAAAATAATCCTGACACATGATTTTAAAACATTTTCCTTAAACATGTTCAGATAAAGTCTGTTTAAAACCATAATTTCTTTCATTTTTCTACCCCAAATTTTGATTTTTTTCAGGAAGCACATGAATACGAAACAGGTAAAAATTACAAACAAGGCCGGATTAACCACGAACTCTAAAGGGCCCAGGCCCAGGGCAGCAAGGGCACAAGTAAAATTATGTATCTGTGATCTCCCGCTTTATATTAAACAAGGGTGACCGTACATCCTCTTTTCCCCAGACATGTCCACTTTTCACTCTCTGTCCGGGGCATCCGGGGGGTTCTTGTATTGATGAAAATGTCCGGTTTATCATCCAGGAACAGGGATCGAATTATGGGGGAGATGGATATTCTACACATTCAGGGGAGCCGGAAAAAAAGTTTTCTACCTATATTACATCATTCATGGACTCTTGAGCAGAGAGCGGCACAGCGCTGATCGTCGGTGTTCAGCGCTCCAGGCTGCTGTGTCCAGCGCACGGTCCATTCTCAAAGTGGCGCATCCAAAAAACTATAATTAACACACGACCGTTCATGCCTGCACATGTTCTCTACTTTCTGTCTTATTTGTGCCTGAAGCGCTCTGCCACTGCAGAGCTCATCACCTGTGCTGCGGTAAGTTCACCTCACTGACGCAGCATCGAAACGCGCACTCGGCTTTGTGGTCAGGAGATTCCTTTGATCTGCTCAAAAGTAACTGATGAAGTGAAAAAGTAAGAATCCAGACAGCAGATTCTCTGGAGAGTTTAGAGGAGATGCAGGAAGAAGAGAGACAGACAGGACAGGAAAATATAGTTAAATAAAAACAAGAAAACAAAACAAAGTGTTGAAAAGTAAAATGTAGGCAGATTTATCTCCACTACACGTTTCTACCTGCAAAACAATAAGTTATACACATGTAATATTTATACATCTGATACAATTCAGATCACCTTCAAAACTCAGTCACACACCCAGGGCCGTTTCAAGGCATTTTGGGGGCCAATGCAAAATGACACCCCCCCCCCAATAACTGGGCTCCCCAGAAGCCTCTGTGTAATTCATACCCTGTCCAGGAGTGTTAGTTATACGGTGTTTGTAAAAGCCCCTCAGACATTACTGACATGTTCTAATAATATCAGATGAAAAATTAACTTATCACACATGCTGTCTCATCTGCTTCTTTTCTAAAATTGCAAAAAGTAACAAAACCATGTGAAAGCCACTATTTGTGGATTCTCTGAAAGTTTCCATCATGGAGTGTGTGACAACTTATTTTTTCATTGATCCTATCGTCTAATCTTACAGCTGAAACAAGCATCCTTGATAATCTGTGCACAGGAAGCTTACTGATGCTGTAGTAAAACAAAAGGTATAATAATTTATTATTAATAAAACCTTGTTGCAGCAGTAAAGCAGAAAAATGAGATTTTGCAATAAATATGCAAAATATTTACATATGAATTGTTTTAGAGCCCTTTTATTGACAGAATCTGATATTAATTTTAATTCTTACAAAGAAATGGGTCCCAACGTGGTTTGTGTGGCGTTGCCATAGTGTGACGTCCCCTGTCATCTTGTTTGGAAATGGAAATATGGTCACCCTATATTAAACAAACTGTCCACCCGGGCTTTTGCGCTGCACAGAGATGCTTCGCTGCCTATGACTTTGAACGTCAGTTGAGAGTCAGTCTCATGCAGACTGACCAATGAAGAGAGGGCCTCAAGTTAAGACCCTCTCCTCATCGTCAGTCCACACGAGATGGGTCAAAGGTTACTCTGGGTGGGTTACATGATGTCAGGCATTCAAGTATTGAGTATATTTACTGTATATTACAGTAAAATATTCTGTATGTGACCATATTATGGTGATGCTTGGGTCGTGATGATGGGGCCCTTTAATATTGTTGCCCAGGGTACAACAAAGTGTTAATCTGGCCCTGATTACAAATATTAATTTGTTCATATTTTAAAGTAGTGTCATTGTTCGTAGTTCTAATCATTCACTTCCACAATAAGTGCCAATGAGCGGCTGAGCACTGTGTGTTCCTGTGACAAGGAAGTGATGAGCAGAATGTGTGCTGCTGCTGCTGCTGCTGCTGCTGCAGCTGCAGCTGGGAGACAAACCAAAACAGTTGCAGCAGCGCTGCTACCCCGGTTTCACACTGGAAGCATCAGCGGCACAGAATGGCACTGCTTAAAATAGAATCCATTATAGTCTATGGAGTGATACAAATGAGCTGCGGTGCGTCCATTTTCAGACGCGTCCCAGAAGCGGCACGTGGCGAAAGACAATCTATTTTTTCCACGAGCCACTTCTGGGATGAGTCAATTGAAATCACACACGGTTTCGTTGTAAAATCCATGGTAATTTTCAAAATAAAAGTACTGTGGTGATGCAGTTTCATATATATGTGGTTTACGTGTGACTTAATGGCTTATTTATTCCCATTATCGTTCCAGAAGTGCAGCGGTGTGTTTTTAATGGTTTAAATACTGGCAGTGGAGAGGTACAACATCATAAATGACATCAAACAGCCATAACAACAAAATCATTATATTTTTAGTTTAATGGCAGATTGCATAAACAAACCTTAACCTTTGAAGTCCCAAGGGATCTTGTGATCTTACTGCTGAGACACTCTCAGTGTGCACTGGAGTGCTGCGATTGTCGAGAGTAAACCATTCCGCTGCTGTTCCGCACCACTGATGTGTACAGTAGGGGTAACCTCTAGTTTTTGTGAGACAGGCAGAAATGTGCATTATGAACATCATTTATGTCTTGCCTTTTCAACCAAAGCTCCTGCACATCTCTTCATGGTATAGAGGAGCTTAAGTTATGAGAAAAAAGGGCAACGAGGAAATCAATTCATCGTCATTATCATTAACAAAAACAACACTGAATCAGACCCTTTGTCAAACAGAGACTTTAGGTCTTTGAAACTCATATTTGTGGTAAAAAAAAAAAAAGATGCCGTAACACATATTTAAAAATGCCTTCTCCAACTTTGTGCAGACGCTGGCTTTGAGCAGTGGTCATGCTAACCGGACATTTTCCTTATCTAACCCTCTCAGGCTCAAAATAAGTTTTGATAAAAGGACGAACAACTAAGTCCTTCAGGGGTACTTCTGAGTTTAAAAATGCTCATGAAATACTAATGTGGAGTAACCAGGTAGGTAGGTTTTAATGTTGCAAATCTGCAACGCCTGCCTCCAGAGGGTTAAGATGTTATTTATATATTTATTTATTTATTAATTAACAGTGACAAAAAATCTGAAGATTGTCAGTCATACTGACCGATTGCAATTCACCCCCCCCAACTTTTTTAATTTTTAAACGTTTCACACAGAGTTCATCACGGAGGAAACAAAACCAAAAATAAAGAGCATCTTGCTACTGACAATGTGCATATGTGGTCAGCGCTCTGAAGAGCTGTGGACAGCAGGGTTAAGAGTGCGCCTGTGACTGATCAGTGCAGCAGAACCACGGTGCACAAGAGCACATGCGGGAGGATTTCCTCCTGCTGAAGCAAGTGCTTTCCAGCTCTGGAAACCCTTCTTTCAGAGAGTCTTGCACACTTGTGGTTATTTCATTTAGATAAATATTCCCTGATTTTAAAACTTTGGCTAAAGTAGCACTT